TTTTCCACCCCTGTCCAGCAGCCCCAGCCTTACCTGGTTTGGGGGAGCAGAAAACCTTGCTCTGCAACATGTATCCTAACTTTTCTGTTGGTCACTGTGCCCTACGGCTTCCTTAAGTTTTTGTCTCTGCCTGTTTAGAGGGGGAAAGTGTTTTTCAGGGTTCCTATAAGAGAAGAGGTTTTCAAGATACCTATGAGAAGAGCAGGAAAAAAAAATAGTAGAATACTTACAGGTAGATTCTCCATGCTTTTGGGGACAAAGAGATTCACCCGTTTGAAACATCTAGGAACAGCATCTGGCCCATTACAAGGACCTAAGTCATAATAGCTGTTCTAATTTGTGAGAGATTCATTGCAAAATGGCCCCAACTCCCTACCTCTTCTCATGTCCTTACCCTTTGCATTGTGACCCTGCAACTCCACCTTTGGAATGTGGGGAAGCAGCTTGTAACCTCCTTTGGACAATAAGACACATTGGAAATCATGGTGCGTCGGTGCTGTGTGAGGCCTTCACATGGCCTGGCATGCTTTCTCTCCCTCTCAGGACTCTGCCCACCTGCCATGAAAACAAACCCAAACCAGGCTCCTAGAGGATAAGATTTCATGTGGAGGGAAGACAAGCCATCCCAGTGACTACAGATGCATGAGTGAGCCCAGAGGGTCCCAACAGAGCTTGGGCCAAGATGAGCAGAACTGGCCAGCCAACCCAGAGATTCATAACCTGAGATAAATATTTATTGTTAGTATACCACTGAGGTGTTTCTGGTTGTTGTCGTTGTTTTTTAATGTAGTATCGTTGTAGCAAGAGCTAACTGATGTGTTGTTTATTATTTTTATTTTTTTAACTTTTTTAATAGATTTTATTTATTTGCCAGAGAGAGAGTGCACAAGCAGGGGGAGCTGTAGGCAGAGAGAGAAGCAGGCTCCCCGCCGAGCAGGGAGCATGATGCGGGACTTGATCCCAGGACCCTGGGATCATGACCCGAGCTGAAGGCAGTTGCTGAACGAACTGAGCCATCCAGGCATCCCTATTATTATTTTTATTTTTATTTTTATTTTTGATGGACAGTGGGGAAGAGAAAATTCTGTGGGCAGAATTTGGCTGACTGAAGCCTGCTCAGGCACAGAGTTCCCTGGTCCAGTTGAATGGACTGGGGAGGTGGAGAGGGTGGGATCAGGAAGGAGAAACTGTGGCTCCTGTCTTTGTAACTGTGGCCTTTCCTTAGGTCAGTGGTCCTCACATTTTTGCTTACATGCACATCTCAAAAAGAATTTTGAAAAACAATGTGTCCAGGGCACCTGGGTGACTCAGTCAGTTAAGCATCTGCCTTCGGCTCAGATCATGATCCCAGGGTCCTGGGATAGAGTCCCGCATCGGGCTGCTTCTCCCTCTGCCCCTCCTCCCACTTGTTCTCTCAATCTCTCTCTCATAAATAAATAAAATCTTAAAGGACACCTGAGTGGCTCAGTTGGTTAGGCAACTGCCTTTGGCTCAGGTCATGATCCTGGAGTCCCGGGATCGAGTCCCACATCGGGCTCCCCGCTCAGCGGGGAGTCCGCTTCTCCCTCTCCCACTCTCCCCTCTTGTGCACTCTCTCTCCCTCTCTCTCTCTCAAATAAATAAATAAAATCTTTAAAATAAATAAATAAATAAATAAATAAAAACTTAAAAAAAAAGAAAAGAAAAACAATGTGTCCCATAGCATATTCTAAGTTCACAGGTAAGAGTTTTGATATAATTTTCTTTGTACTGGAAATATTGACATTTAAACATAAAACTATCAGTCTTCTAAAATATTAAAGGGAATCTGGAGCTCATAATAATTTCATGCTCATACCACCCAATCTAAAATATATGAATGAGCTCTTCTTCACTGTTGAGAAATTTTACATCTTTCAGTTTTCTCCTTGAATTCACGTTTCTTTCCTACTTACTTCACACACCTTTAACATAATTTAGCATACCTTAAAACTTTGAAAGTCCTTTATTGATTACCCTATCACACATTAAAAATACATTGAATACATATATATTTTAACACATTAAAAAAATATTTTATTCCTATAACCTTAAGGCTCTCCATGGTTTAAAAAAATGGTTCTGGATTGAATTATCACACAACTGATCAAAATTACAAAAAAAAAAGTATTACCAATTTTGATCATTATTAAACATAAAAAGTTAAATATAATTGGAAATGCATTTCCTAATGAGATGAAATAGGATCTAACTTGTCATATGCATTTAATGAAAGAGAAAGGTATATTCGGCTGAAAATTAATCAGCCCAGAAACTAGAATAATATTATTCTTTTTAATAGAAGGTAAAACGATTAAATATTTTATATGGTAAAATAAAATAAGCTTTAGCTATCACTGGATTATTTCATGATATGATTTCATAAAAAGGCCTTTAAATTGCTCTACTGAATAGGATATACTGCATCCAAAATCCAAAACAAATCACTTAAAAATTTTATCTGTGGGTTTTATTTGATGTATCTTGAGAATTGTGAATGTGTTGGCAAGGCTTTCGGTCTACACTTAAACGAATCAGTGTCACTAAGCTACATGCTTGGGCTGTGCTATTGTGCTCTTCTTCTCAGCTGAAGACTTGACCTGGGATTAGTCTGTAGTGTTGTTGGAAAGTATTGCTTATAGTTAAATACATTTTTTAATGCTGAGTTCTTCTTTTCTTTAGTGTTCAGTGTTTCTGACTGATGGTCTCTTTGCTTCGCTGTCATTGTCCTCACCTTCAAGAAGGGCGATGATCTTGACTCCCACCACTCAGGCTACTGTATGTCTATTTTCAAAGCATCCTAACATGGTCACTGTTTCTTAGACTGTCTTTCCCCTTAACATAAAATGTATAAGATGGGGAAATATGAGAGTCCAGGGGGTAATGGAATCCTTTTTTTTCTGAATTTAATTTTTTTATTGTTATGTTAATCACCATATATTACATCATTAGTTTTGGATGTAGTGTTCCATGATTCATTGTTTGTGCATAACACCCAGTGCTCCATGCAGAATGTGCCCTCTTGAATACCCATCACCAGGCTAACCCATCCCCCTCCCCTCCTCCCCTCCAGAACCCTCAGTTTGTTTTTCAGAGTCCATCACAGGGGGTAATGGAATCTTGATTTAACAATAAAGGAGTCCTCCCCTATTCTCCCTGAGGTTTTCACACCCTGAGGCAATGTACCATAGTCAGATGGGTTGAGTGAGAGTGATGCATTTTTGCCTTTTTTCCCCTTAATAAAGTACAACTTTTTCATTTTGTAAAACAAATAAATAAAATTGAGAACACATTTTGTCATTTCAGATGTATTCTCATGCAAAGCAAACCAGAAAAGTGTGTGTATGGAAATTAAGGATCAAGAAAATCATTCCCTTCAAACAACCCTTGCTCAGTACCCCTTGGAACTTTTTCACAGACCCCTAGGGGCTACTGCCTTTGTTCACTAGGTGCTAGAATTTTCAACTTAAAAAATCAGAGTGGGGCACCTGGGTGGCTCAGGTGGTTAAGCGGCTGCCTTCGGCTCAGGTCATGATCTTGGGGTCCTGGGATTGAGCCCCAGATCGGTCTCCCTGCTCAGCAGAGAGCCTGCTTCTCCCACTCCCTTTGCCCCTCCCCGCTGCTGATCTCTCTCTCTCTCTCTCTCACTCTTGCTCTCTCTCAAATAAATAAATAAAATCTTTAAAAAAAATTAGGGTTTAATGTCCTAACTGGGTAATACATTTATATAGTTCAAATATCAAAGAGTCTAGAAAAGTATAATGTATAAAGTGAAAAGTCTTGTTCCTTCCCTCCCCTCAACTCTCCTCCATAATCATGGACTTCTTTGGGCGCATATACAAACAAATACCATGTTATTACCACAGCCTCCTTTGGTTACTTACACAAATGGTGGCATAAAACATACATTTTCCTCTCCTGGATTTATTCTCTCCAAATTGTAACTTGGTGGAAGTCTTTCCACACCAGTATGTATGTGGAGTTCTTCCTCAGCTGTGTTTTTTTTAACAGTACAACCGCAGGGTATTCTGTTGAATATATGTCCCATACTTTGTTTAATTAGTGCCCTTTTGATGTGCATTTAGCTTATTTCCTATCTTAGCTATTTCAAACAACATGGCAATGACTAACCTTGTGCATGTACTGCCCTGCCTGTCTGAGAATTTATGTGTAACAAATTCCTTTAGAAGTGGGATTGCTTGTGGTATATGGGGCCTAATTTCCCTCTACGGGAGTTGTTTCAGTTTTTACTCTCACTTGCAATGTATGAAACTGCCCATTCCTCCATAGCCATGTCAATAGAGAGTGCTAACAAACATTTAGATTATTGCCAATCCGAAAAGTTAAAAATGGCATTTGAGGTAGTTTTTATCTTTGGGTTGGAAGATACCCAGTGCTTGCCAAGCTGTCAGGAGGGGATGCAAGCTGTCAGGAGCCATACTTCGGCCATGTGGAGAAGGCCAGTTTGGGAGGTCAACCACAGCCCGTGAGAAGCAGAGCTGAGAGACCAAAAGCACATGATGGAGGTACCCTGGCTCCAGACACACTGGACTCCATTAGCTAATGACTCCCCTCTTGATTTCAGCTGGTTCCCGCTTGGGTTCTGCTGACCCACGTCCAGATGGAGGGTACACAAACAGCCCCTTCAGGCTCCCACGATCTGGTTGCCAGGTGGACCGCCAGCTGCCTGGTCAGGCCCCAGAACCCTTGTAAAAAGCTGCTGTGGGTACAAAACAGCTACTTTGGGAAACTGAGGGTTTCTAATAAAGTTAAACATACATCTACCCTGGGGACCAGCAATTCCGCTCCTAGACATGTACCGTAGGGAAATGACTGCACGTGTCCCTGAAAAGACATAGTCACGTTGGTCACAAAAGATAAACACTGGAAATTACTCAAATCCACAGGAGAATGAAAAACAGACAAACTGAGGTATTTCTTCTGATGAAATGCTGCTCAGCACTGAAAATGAATAAACTCACCCTACACAACAACATGGATGGATCTCTGTGTTAAGCAGAGGTCAGACATAAAAGAGTACATCTTACGTGGTTCAATTTTTTGTAAAGTTCAAGAAGAGGTAAAACTAAACTGTGGTGATGAGGTCAGAATAGTTGTTGTCCCTGCAGGAGGCGTTTCTAAGAAGGAGACCTGAGGGCACTCTCTGGGGCAACGAAAATGTTCCATAACCTGATGGGCAGGGTAGTCACATTGGGTGTTTGCAACAGTCAAAATGCATCAAAATATACATTTTTTTCTGTATGTCAAACAAAAGGAGAAGAACACTATCAACAACAACAATGAAAAATCCACTGTAGGGGACAGAAACCATTGCAGGGGGTCATTTCCAGCAGCTGCAGGTCACCCTGTATCTGTCCTGGTTGGCACTACAGCCCCTGTGGGTAGGAGGAGAGTCTCTGCTCGTAGCACCCTGCTCTTGGCTGTGGAGCTATAGCTCTCCGAGAGCCTCCCTCCAAGGCAGTCTCTTTTTGAACTGTTCTGCTGCTCAGATATTTTCCCTCACCTTCCAGACAGCAGAGGGCCCAGAGACCCATGGCTAGGGGTGAGACAGCCCCACATCCCCATCCTGGCTGACCCTCTGAGCCCCTGTGAAGGGAACAAGGACAGATTTCACGCAGGAGGATTGTGGGGATTCCAGATGTCAGGAGATGGGGTCTGACGTCATCTACTCTGCACACTTGGCAGCTACTTTATTACTTGCTAAAAGGAGCTGCACGGCCAGTGGCCTGGCTTGCAGGGGTGAGGGAGGGGCTGCGGCGAGGACACTGAAGTTTTGTGCTCACCAGGCTGAGTCCTTGAATATTATACTCCAGGATTAAGTAAAGCTCTGCAGCAGAATTCATTATGATTGGCTCCTACCCGCTCCCAGCAATTAGAGGATAATTTGGAAAAGGAGATTTGCATCGGAAGCCTCCTTCACACCGGCCTGCAAAAGCCTTTAATCCATCCCCTAACATCCTAAGAGAGCGATGCAGAGGGCATCCAGGAGAGCTTGGGGACAAAGTGGAAGGAGTGGAGACTGCCCAGGATGACAGTGAGGGCCCACAGGGTCAAAGGGAGTTGGGGGGAGGTGTTGAGAGTTCCTGAAGGGAGACGAGGAACAGCAGAGACCAGGTGGCCTGCTCCGCAGTTTTGGGGACGCCACGCTTGCAAGAGCCTTAAGACTGCATTGCACAGGATCGCCGCTAGGAGCCCTTTGGGGCTAGTGAGCACTTAAACGGGGCTAATGCTCCAGAACCTGACTTTTAATATTATGTAATTTTTTTGAATTTTTAAATTTTATTTAAATTCAATTAACTAACATATAGTGTATTATTAGTTTCAGAGGTAGAGTTCAGTGATTCATCAGTTGCATATAACACCCAGTGCTCCTTACTTCAGGAGCCCTCCTTAATGCCCAACACCTAGTTACGCATCCCCTTCCACCCTGCCCCAGGAACCCTCAGTTTGTTTCCTAAAGTTAAGAGTCTCTTATGGTTTGTCTGTCTCTCCGATTTCATCTTATTTTTTCCTCCCTTCCCCCATGATCCTCTGTTTTGTTTCTTAAATTCCACATATTATTTAATTTTAATTAAAGTGAAAACTGAAAATCTGAAGCAATTTGATCTTATTACATATTCTGTATTATTAAAATTGTTAAAATTGTTTTCACTTGGTTGTTTTAAATTTAAAATTTAAATTGATAGAATAGGCTTGTATCATGTTTCCGTTGAGTGGTGCCGTCCATATACACCTGCTGGATTCAGTCCTTCCTTTTCCACAGGCAGTGTTGGGTTGAACAACCAGGTGGTCGATTCTTTATGTGCATCACACTGACCGTGTTCACATGAGTTCAGCTGCTCTAGTTTGCTCATCTAATTAAGTCATCTGATCAGAAGGTTAAGGAAATAAACAGATACACAAGCACATAATGGAAGTGGGACTCTGAGGTGTGAATGTCTGTGAGCTTCCCCTAAATGCACTAGAAAACTAGTCCTGACCTTTATTACAGAGGAGGGAAGTGAGGGGTTGGGGTCCAATTTGCATTTTAAGGAATCACTCAGGCTGCCCCTGGGATAATGAGCTGAAGAAAGGAGAGCTAACGTGGCGGGCCCGGTGCAGGTGCATAGACAAGCAACAGTTACTATTGCCTGCTGTAAGTATACTGGGAGTTGAATTTTGCTTTAAGCAAAACGGAGCAATGGGAAGGCAACTCTGAATGTCACCTTCCCCCAACCTCAAGAGTAACTTCTTCTAGTATATGTTCTGAAAGGGCAGCATGTCCTGGGTTGTCCACCCAGCCGTGGGCCCTTCCCTGCTCACTGGTCACCCCTGAGACCCTGGCAGCCAGCTTCTCTCTGGGATACTGCTGTCCCCAGGCCCCCGCAGAGAGAGAGGTCAGAGAACCACTTCTGTCTCGACTGCTCAACTTTGAATTTCTGTAATTCCACCAGTCCTGGCTTATCAAAGTCCCAGCTTCCTCTTTACCTAGACTCTGATTTCCCGGTGGGAGCTACCCGTGTCAGGAGGTCCACCGCAGAGCTATTCATTGATGGCTATGTCGATATCCAGCCAGACAATAATCCTGGGACAACAACGTGCATGGCTCTGCCCTCTCACAGGGAGGCAAGGCTCATAACAGATGTATAACTGTTTCTATCATGTAAAACACTGGAGGGAATTTGTTTCAGCCGCCCCAACACCCCTCAATGATTCTCACATATAATGTGCACAGGAAACACCTGGGATGCTTCATGAAATGCATATTCCTAGGAAATAGATGACAAAGTCAAATGGAGTAATTAAGGAGTATTTAATGAAGGAACTATTTACAAAATGTAGGCAAGGTTAAACACACCAAGGTTGGTACAAGAGTGGGACCTGTTGACATCCCTAGATCTCCAGCTCAAGAGAAGGGAACCAGGAGAGAGGAGTTGTTTGAGAAGTATGCCCGAAAGGAGCTGTGGCCTTGAGTAGAGGACAGAGTGGGAGGGAACTAGGGGAATAAGCACCTGGACCTCACTCTCCTCCTGTCCCCTGGACCTCTCACTGGTGTCCTGCATTGGCCAGAGAGTAAGGGCGCCATTGATGCACCCATGCCAGCCATGTAGGTGTCAGGATCGTAGGCTCTGACCAGGTTGGAGAAGTTGGAGGGCAGATATGATGAGACAAACAGAAATATCCAACCTATATGGTGTATACACTCCGTACAGAACAGGAGTGATCACCAACCTGATAACTATTGGATTATCTGGTAAATTCTAGGTGCCATAGTTCAATGGCAATATTGGCACACAGGCAATGAACAAGAGAAGGGTGATGAGGGTGTCAGGAAGTTAAGTCATTTTATTTTTTTTTTCAGATTTTATTCATTTATCTTTTCAAGAGAGAGAGCGAGCGCATGCACAAGCAGGGGAGGGGCAGAGGGAGAAGCAGACTCCCCGCTGAGCAGAGAGCAGTGTGTGGAGCTCTATCCCAGGACCCTGAGATCATGACCTGAGCAAAAGGCAGGAACCTAACGACTGAGCCACCCAGGCGCCCAAGTTAGTCACTTTAAATAATAGAAATATTCAGTCTGAAGACAACAAGATTTGGGAGGGATAGCCAGTAGCTATCTGGTTTAACTGGTTTGAACCACTCCACAAATGTATGTCAATCTCTTTACTTTTTCTCATTACTTGAGTATACATAAACCTTGCTAACAGTTGGTTCAGCGTATCCCTCTTGAGGTTTTCTACCCACACAAACTGGATTATCCAAGAATCCCAAGAGGTTAGTCAGTCACAAAAGAATCAGCTTTCACCAATGCTGGGTGAGGGACCTGGAATCTGGGAGTGTCCTGTGACAACCACTGTCTCTCCCTGCCATCGACTGTGGCTGTTGAAGCTTAGGCGCAGACCATCCCTTAGACACTCGTGCACAGGAATAGTCTCGTCCCCCTTTCCATAGATGGAAATGGGCAAGTTGGCCTCAAGAGTGCCGTGGTCTCATTCCATCGCCTGCCACATTATAGGCTATCATAGAGAAAAAGGCTTTTTCTCTACCCTCTGATATTCAGTACTTAGGGATCTGCAAATTAAACTGACAAAAGACAGATTAGCAAGAAACAACACATTTTTATTCACTTACGTACACGGGAGTTCACACAAAAATGTGACTCACAGGTGGAATGTGGCCTTACATATCATCTCAAGAGGAGATGGGGGCAGAGGGGCATTTTGGGAGAGCAAAAGACTTCTTAGAAGAGGTGAGGGGACAGAAAGGGCACCTACGGAAAAAGAACTTTTTGGAAAGATAAATGGACCCTTAGAATAGATGGGAATATGATAGTTTTGTGACAATAACTGCTTGGTGGTGCTACCAGTCGCTTGTCTCTAAGAAGAGATTAAAGCTTCGGGGGAAGGAGAGTATTGATGACAAATGAGTTTTGCGGGGAGGCTCAGCTTTAAGGCAGGTAAGAGATTTCAGGAAATCAAAAGCTTTGAACTCAAAATAATTTCTACACCAAAGTGGCATGTTTTGGGGTGGCTGTTCCCCTTCAAGACTTAGAACCACCATCTCTGTTCCTTCTCCTTCCCCATCCATCCATCCAACTACCAAAGGGTAAGGCTGATTTGTTTGTAAACATTCAAAAACAACGTATTTTGAGAAAAAGCTTCTCCTTTGACAATTGAGGCTGCTCTGCCTATACCTGGCCTTTGGAGAAAGCTGCGGTCAGAAGCACAAGGTAGCTTTCTAACCTAGCCACAGGGTGACCTAGAGATCTAGAGGTCAGCTCCTTCCACTAAGAAGACAAAAGCCAAGTGTCAGCCCTAGCAGGTGCTCTAACAGTGAGCCAGCCCTCTACAGAGCTACTTAACATTTTGGACAGAATGACATCATCGGGCCCTCCTACTTGGGTGATACAGGGACAGAAGAAGGCTCAAAGAGTGAAAGTCAGAGAGTGACAGATTTCTAATTCAATACTATGAAGAAATTTATAAGGGTGAAAGAA